TTCCTATACACTTCGGCCGGGATGTTGGTGCTGATTCGTTGACTTGCATAGCCATTACACTTAATGGTTCCTCTTGTAGAAGGAAAGCAGGTAAAGAAAGCATGTTTTGCTGGCAACATGAGCAATGAGGTCCAAGATTAATCACTGATCTCATCGATCAGACTGGTATGAGATAATTCTCCTTGTTCTTTAGACTTATGGGGCTATAACAAAAAAGGGTAAAAATGACGTTGAGGGTGCGTTTGGTATATTGGACAGAACATAACATAACATGGATCTCTGTTCCACATTTTGCAAACAAAGTGGAACAAGCGTGTAAATTAATCAACATATATAAAAAATATAAACAACACATTAAGAGTAAATTGGTTATTTTATCTGTCATGTGCTGTCTGGATACCAAACGCACCCTAAGCGTATTTCCAGTTTGTGTTTTTGGAGCTTGCCCTTCTAATATTTTTTAGAGTATATAATCAGTATATACGCCAAATGAACTTACACACCCACTACACCTTTGAAGACATTGGAACCTCTGACCTCCTAGAAGGCCAAAGGTCCGAATACGGAGATACCGCTGGGCCAAAAGCCCTTTGGTTCTCATTTTCCTTAGCTCAATGACCAACTTCTGATCTGCTCAACAGTCTTGCTCCCAGTTAAAAACATGTTCCTGTTAAAAAAACCTTCTGCGAAGGGTTGGAGATACAATCGTGCATCAAGTCACAAAACCAGCTTCTCCTTTGGAGGTATGTATCCATAGTTCCATATAATCCATTCCATGTGTTCCTTTTTTATTGTTGTGGAAGTGTTTTATGTGGTTTTCCCATTGTAATAAAATGGGTTTGGTGTGTATTGTAATAAAATGGGTTTGGTGTGTATTGTAAACTCTATGTGTTCTTAAACATGTCATTATATGATCAATAAAATGAACTTTTTTAAATTAATTTCACATTCATACATGTTGTTGGAAAAAATGGGGTTTATTTTATACCCATTTCGGACATGAAAACAAAGTCGAATCCGATCTCGAAACGAGAAGATGTTTTACCGGGTTTGGATAGACCCATGTTAGAGCTACGTTTTGGTGTATCACGTGTCTAAAAATGAAGTTCGAGTGGATGAGAAATTGATCACATTCACAGGAAGTGTTGGAATGGTGAACTCAACGGAGTCAGTTATAACGATCCTGTTACTGTGAAAAAATATGCTAGACATGCTCAATTAGGATGAATTTTGTAATTGGTAGAGTTGAATAAATATGGCTAGAAGGCTCTCTAACGTGCCGATAAGTTTTGTCATTTTCTAGAAAATTGATGAACCAATTATGATATCAGTTACAAATGCAATTAATTTATTTGTAAAATATTTTGTAACACGACATTTATGGAATAATTAGTATTTTCTATGAAACTGTTTCCGTAACCAATGTATCATTAACTCATCATCGATTATAAGTTGTGGTGAATAGAGAGCCCACCAGTTTTATGAAAAACACCTTGCAACACACAATTTAGAGGGTTTCATATGAAAACAAGATGAAAAGTATTGATCACTCATTGCTCAGGTGATATTTGGTTTGAAAATTCATGGAAAAACCATTATAACGCTGTATCCTGGGAAAAAGACGTTGCCGTTGAAAACAAATCTGTTTTAAGGACATCGACATCTCTCAACTAATCTTTGTCCATTCAATTCATTTATGTTTTTGGTAAATTTATTTGTTGCATATATCAATATCATACTCTTTTATCTTTTTATATTTTGAAATATATATTATATATATGACAAAACTTATACATACTCTTCATCTTTGGTGTAGGTAAAAACACTGATTTTTGTGAAGGTTGGATTTTACTGGTAATCTAGATACTGTTCGATGAATGACCAGTCAATAACCTGAATATCGCTGGATCAATAAGCATTTGATGGCGGTTTATATTTTTAATGTATGATTTGATTTTATTAATAATAACGAAACATGTCATGTTCTTTTTCTTAAATGTTAACGTGGCATTGTCTAACCCGCTATATCTGGATACACAATGCTCCTGATGGCATGACAGCTCATATTTTCCCAAAACGTCGTCGTGAGAACCGATAAGATCCTCAGTAAAGCTGCAAAAAAGAACGGCATTCGTATTTTAACCAATGCCAGCAGGTGAATCCCGACACGCATCGCAGCCAGCGACGGCGGAGCCAGACGAGGAGGCATCATGGCTATGGGCGGAGATTAAGGCGGAGTCCCGCCGTGACGCCGAATCGGAGCCGGCGCTGGCTAGCTATCTGTACTCCACGATACTCTCTCACTCCTCTCTGGAACGCTCACTCTCTTTCCATCTTGGAAACAAGCTTTGCTCCTCCACTTTACTGTCAACTCTGCTGTACGATCTCTTCCTCAACACGTTTTCCGGCGACCCGGACCTCCGATCCGCCGCCGTGGCAGACTTACGCGCCGCCAGGTCCCGTGACCCTGCTTGCGCTTCGTTTTCTCATTGCCTACTCAATTACAAAGGGTTCCTTGCTTGCCAGGTTAGTTTCTTGAGTTTATATATATATATATATATATATATATATTATATATATACATGTATTGATTAATTGTTATATGATTCTTGTTGCAATTTTGTGCTAATTTAATTGGAATACTTGAAGAGATTGCTATTATCTTTGAAATATGTGTGATTCCTGCACAGGTCCATCCTATAGGGGCGAAAGCCCTAAAAAATACCCCTATTCAAAAAAAACAGTAAACTATTTGGGGTTTATAACAAAGTTGAGTTGTCACACAATGTCTATTATAGTAAGTGTAAATTGTATGAAAAAGGAACATACTTATTTTTAATTTAGGAAACGTACTTTTAAAACTTTTATTTTAGTACCTGAGATGTAAAGTTTTAACCATTTAAATATCCGGGTAACAAGTTAAAACATTAACCGGTTATCATGTGGATGCACCGAGTGATGTGGTATCCTACTCGGTATTATTTGCTGACGTGATTAGTGACATAATTTTTTTTTTAAGTATCGCTAATGATTTATAAAAGAGTCATTTTATATCATTCTATTAAAACTAAAAACAAACTTGAACTTGCATGTATAAGTTCAGCAGATTCAACAACAAAAGATAATTATTTATATTGTCTATATAAATATGTTTGATAAAATCATACGTGTAAAAAGAATAATAAGATTTCAAATATTATCTATGTTTTTTCAAAACAAAAAAGACAATTTTAAGCTGATAAAAAAGATTTAGAACGAGAAATATAAAAGTAACAAGGGGGAAGATGATTGCACCGGCCTAGTGGTAGCATACAACTATACATCAGTATCATCCAGGGGCGGATCTAGCTTGTAAAAGGTGGGGGGAAAGGCCCCCACTAAAAAATTAAAAAAAATAAATTTTCTAAGGGTAAAAGTTGTTTTTTTTTTATTTTCTACCATGGTTTTCCTCCGTAATTTCTTGTTAGGCCCCCACCAACTAAAGAAAGTATCTTGAAATCAACCAAAAAACTGAAAAGTTTCTCGAAATTGATAAAAAAAACCTTAAAAATCCCTCAAAATAATCCAAAAAACTTCAAAAATCTCTTGGAATGGTGGAATAAGGCTAAAAACACATAGGACGACTTTGTGGGCGTTTAAGCTACCTTAAAGGTGCCCCCATTAGACCAAAATCCTGGATCCGCCACTGGTATCATCGTAGCAGTTTTTTGTAAGTATTTTTTAGTAACAATATGACAGATACAACATGTGAATTAATGTCCGGTCAGGCTTTTAATGCTCTGGGCCGGGGCCCGCCCCTTAGCCGCCCCTGCCCGCAAACCATAGAAAAAGATGACACTTTTCATTGAATTTGGATATTTTGGGTGTTGTTATTTTTTAATATCTTTTTCAGAGTTCATGTGTATTGTTATTTTCCCTATAAAGTGTTTATTAGGTATAAAACATATTCAGGGGTTGTTTGAGAGTTGCTTAATGATTTAATACAGAATGATTAAGTAATCAGAATGATTAAGAGACTTTCATGATATAGTGTAAAAATGAATTATAATTATTTACAATGAAATTAGGGCGCTGAATGGTTAAGGGAGGTCCATGATACAAAATCATTTAGAGGGTTTTAGAACCATTAAGAAGCAAACATTTTTTTGCCAAACAAGATTCATCTCTTAACAATTCAGAGTTTGTTTCTTAATGGAACTATTAAGAGGTAAACAAACAACCCCTTACCAACGGTCTATTTTAATAGTCAAGAATGTTATCCGATAAAATAAAATAGATTTTGGATAAACTTTTTGCTCGATAATTCAAAATGGAGAAAGGTGGTGACCGGTGAGAGTGTGAAATAATGTCGGAATTGAATGTAATTTTTTTCCGAGAGATTTTGAATTCTGATTCTCTATTTTATAGAAATTTTAGGGAATCTGTTGGAGATGTACTTAGCTTCTTTATCTTGTTTTTCTCCATTTTAGAAAATCTATTAAAGATGCTCTAACGTGAACACTTTCGTTAACAAGCTGGTTCATCGTTTAATCAGGCCCAGCGGGTGGCTCATAAGTTATGGACTCAATCCCGACGACCACTTGCCCTGGCCCTACAATCTCGGATCTCCGATGTCTTCGCTGTCGACATTCACCCGGGTGCTACACTTGGAAAGGGAATATTGTTTGACCATGCAACCGGTGTCGTCATCGGTGAGACAGCGGTTATTGGCAACAACGTTTCCATCCTCCACCATGTAACTCTAGGCGGGACAGGAAAGGCTGGCGGTGACCGCCACCCAAAGATAGGAGACGGTGTGTTGATCGGTGCAGGGGCGACAATATTAGGTAATGTGAAGATCGGTGAAGGGGCGAAGATTGGTGCGGGATCGGTGGTTCTGATGGAGGTGCCGCCACGAGCAACGGCGGTGGGGAATCCGGCAAGGTTGGTAGAAGGCAAAGAAGCATCAAAGCTTGAAGAATGCCCAGGGATGTCGATGGATCATACATCCTTCATGTCCAATTGGTCTTACACTATATGAATTCTTCCATTCTATATATTTCATGCTATCAATTTCAAATAATTTCGTATTTATATGAAATCATTTTGATACAATACCAATCTCAAAGATGGTTCTATTAACCACAACGGTGGTGTTCGATTGGTTTGAGTTTGGGCTCCAAACGTTAAAAGTGTCTGGAGGTCCCAGGTTCGAATCCAAGGAGGAATAAAAATCCCCTTGTGGCTATGGAAGTTCAAATGTGGTGACTCCGGGTTTGATCGTCACCTTGAGATTAGTCGGTTCGCATAGCAGGTTGGATGTCCAGGTTAATATAAAAAAGATGGTTCTATTTATAATTTTGTAACAACTAGAGGCAATAATATGAGGTTTAAGCTCGAATAACTTGTTCGATGTAGGACTTGACCTCAATGCCTGTTAATGGCCTTAAAATCATGGTCGATTAACTCGTTTATTGGCTCGAGGTTGATAGTTTTTATCGTAGAATTTATGAATATGAGCATGGTGTATGCTTGAATTGCTTGACCGACTTAAAAAATTTAATCGAGTTTTCGAACGGGCCGAGTCAAACATTGGTGTTATGAAGCTTGGTTCGTTAAGTTAAGCAAGTTTCATTTTGTGTCCAAGATCGACTCTAGCTCAAGTAGCTCGTTAAAAACGACTCATTTACATTTGTAACAATCATTCATCTCATCGACAAGACCTGCACAAAACCCATAACGCTAGGGGTAAAATGGTCATTGTCATTGTCGTTGAATTTAATTGAAATTATCATTTTTCTCTTAAAAACATTAGGGATTAAATGGTCATTTCTTATTTATTCTTGTTGAATATCTGAAATGATCATTATTTTACAAAGTGTTCAGTGATTATTTTAAGATGCAAAATAAAAATCAATCACTCGATTAAATTTGGAGATGATTATATAATTTTATTTTATATTTAATAATCAGTTTTTCTTATTAATTTTTTTTATTAAATATGATTATATCCACCATAAATATGTATTAAAACTTATAATATATATTTTAAAGCACACTCCATATAAGTATAACACTTTTACAAACAAAATATGGAGTCAGGCTCTATAAATGATTAAGAGATGAATCTTATTTGACAAAAAAATATGTCTATTAATGGTTCTAAAACTCTTTGAATAATTTTGTATCGTATGTCTCTCTTGACTATTCAGCGTCCTAATTTCGTTGTAAATAATTACCAAACAATTATATTTCATTTTACACTATATCATGAAAGCCTCTTAATCATTCTGACTATTTAATTTCATTTGACAGTTGCTGAATGGTTTGGTACATAATTATGAAGTGATCAAAATGATTAAGAAGCTCTCATGATATAATGTAAAATGAAATTTAATTATTTCGTAGTTGTTTACAATGAAATTAGGATGCTAAATTTTGTCAAACAAAATTCACCTTTTAACGATTCAGATATTGTCTCTTAATGAAAATATAGAATTATTAAGAGGTAAACAAACAACCCCTTATTCTACACCAAATCATTCAGCAACTATCAAACTTCTAAAATTTCTAATCTTAACTTTTTTTATATATTTTAGGGTAGGGGGGAGCAGCGGAACCGGGTACCCGGTTACGGAACCGGAACCGCGTTGGAACCGCCGGTTCCGGAACCGAAACCGATATGAGTGGTTCCGGTTCCTAAAATACGGAACCGATTGAGAACGGTTCCGGTTCCGGTTCTCAATTTTTCGGAACCGTTACCCGCCGGGTACCCGGTATTTTCCAATAAAAAATTAATTATTATTTTTTATGCCAAATTTATATTAGGTTTACATCTTGAAAGCATATCGTCATCTTCATTCTTCATCTAAATTATTCATATAAAATGATTCGTATTCTTTCAAATTGTGTATTCACTTGGATTCATAGTATGTAATCGTTAAACTTTGAACATTTACCATTATAGTATGTAATCGTTAAACTTTGAACATTTTTTATTAGTCTATTATGGTTTGTAATCGTTAAACAACATTTGTAACCATTATTCTATATAATTTATATTCTTGCTTATTTATTTAGTGTTTTGGCAATGTTTTATTTTTTATTTTTAAATAACAAAATTTTAATATTTTAGGAAGCGGGGCGGGTACCCGGAACCGGAACCGGTTCCTGGCGGTTCCGGTTCCAAAAATTTAAGAACTGCTCTAACCGGTTCCGGTTCCGGTTCCAATATCTCAAGAACCGCCGGTTCCGGTTCCGGTTCCTGTCAAAAAGGGCGGGTACCCGCCTATGCTCACCCCTATTTTAGGGTATGGTTTTCTTTATCAAATTAGAGGGGGATTGTGCAATTTAAGCTAAAAAAGTGTCCATAAAAACTAGAGTAAATTACAATTTTTCATCCTTATGGTTTGTTAAAGATTGTAATTTTTGTCCCTGTGATTTAAAAATTACGTTTTTCATCCCTATAATTTATAATTTATTGTTATCTTTGTCTTACCTTTTTAAGTATAGGCGAACAAAATAATTAAGAATTGAAAACCTTTGAAATAATAATGAATCAAAAATCAGGACTAAAATCGCAATATGTAAACCACAAGAAGGGAAATCATAACTTTTAACAAACCACGGGGACTAAAAACGTAATTTACTCTAATAAGTAATAACTAATGAGGGAACGATGTCGTATGGGTAGATATTTCATTTCTCCTTTTATCGTCTCCAGCATCAGCTACCCAGAAGCTCGAGGTTCTCCCATATCCATGGCGTCATCTCTCTCTTCTCTCCAATTCAAATTCCGCATACCAAAACAACCCAAATCCAAACCCAAATTCCCATTCAACTTTTCAAATCCTACTCTCTGCACCGCATCGCCAAATGACTCCACCACACGCACCACCACCAATCGCCGCCGTAACCCGTCAACAATCCGACCAACTCTTCGCAGACAGAACAACTTAAACCAAAAACTCACCACCCCATCTCCACCAGATGCCGATTTAATGAGTTTATGCAAAAACGGTTTGATCAAAGAAACGATAGAGTTGATGTCTCAAGGCGTCCCAGCAGAATACGACGTTTTCGAGGTCGTTTTAGATTTGTGCGACGATCTTGAATTGGGGAAGAAAGTTCAACAGCTTCTTATTCGATCTCCTTTCTATGGTGATGTGAAATTAAACTCTAAATTGGTGGGTTTGTACGTAAAATGCAGCAGTATGAGAGATGCACGCAGGGTGTTCGACAGAATGCGTGAACGAAAAAACTTAACATTATGGCATTTGATGATCAATGGATATGTAGACAACAAAGAACCCAATGCAGGTTTGTTGTTATATGATCAAATGAAAGATTTGGGATTGACTCCAAATGAGGAAACTTTTAGTTTAGTTTTATTGGCTTGTGTCGGTATTGATTCGGTTCATGAATGTTTACTACACTTTAAAACAATGAAGGATAAGTATAATGTAGTTCCAAAGATTGAACATTATTTGCGGGTTATCGATGTTTTGGGGAATGCAGGTCATCTAAATGAAGCTATGGAGCTTATAGAAAACATGCCTTTTGAACCTACAGTTGAAATCTGGGAATCATTGATGAATTTTGCTCGAATCCATGGAGATATTGAGCTTGAAGACCATGTTCAAGAAATCTTGGCATCGTTTCAACCATCGATGGTGCTAGTCGATAAGCTTCCTTTAGGAAGGAAGCAATATGCAAGTAATATGCTTGAAGGAAAGAATAAGACCGATGAATACAGAAACCCAGATCCGTATAAGGAAGACACGTATAAGAACGTAAACGGTTTAAATGGTCAAATGAGAGATGCAGGGTATGTGCCAGATACCCGGTATGTGCTTCATGACATTGATCAAGAAGCCAAAGAGCAGGCTTTGATGTATCATAGCGAGCGTTTAGCGATTGCATACGGTTTAATCAGTACTCCAGCAAGAACAACTCTTAGGATCATCAAGAACCTCAGGATATGTGGCGATTGCCATAATGCTATCAAGATTATGTCCAAGATTGTCGGGAGAGAACTAATCGTAAGAGACAACAAGCGATTCCATCATTTTAAAGACGGTAAATGCTCGTGTGGAGATTACTGGTAACCTTTTTCGACTAATAATTGATAGGAGATCAACTTCTGCAGATGTTCAGTGTATATTATATGCTTGTTATATGATCTATAAAACAGTTTCTAATGAATATAACAGAGAGTGATTCTCACTTTCTTTGGATCAAAAATGCATGTTACAGATCTTATTTTTATGTACACTGTTTGGATCTCGATATGTAACATATGCCCTGCATTATTCTCAATCTAAGCAATTATTGCAGAGGGATACTTGTATCTATACGCTGCAATAGAAAACCTAGGCTATATCACAGAAGAATCAAATGTACAATTGTTAAATGGCTTGATTACTAATGAGAAAAAGAATACCAGATTATGTTGGAATTTTATGAGGCAGATTGTGATGAGGGCAAGGTTGATGTTTGGCTATCTCTTCGATTTGTGGCCACTTCAACAATAGCTTTATCTCGTGGTGGGACCCTGAGGTACGCTTTCATGACATCATAGACAGTAAATCCAATTGCGACTGATGGCACGACCTGAAAATTTACAAATTGCCAACCCGATGATCAGAAACCTGATTTTCTTTATCATCTGGGACAGACTAAGAGCGTGTTTTTTAATTGGGAGAAATAGGTTTGAAAAAAAACTTGGTTTTCTGTGTAAAGCTCCCCCTTAGAAGCTTATTGAATAAGCCACTTTCTATATTATTAAGCCACTGAAAAACAGTCATTTATAGCGAACAGAATAAGCTGCTAATAAAGGGGCCCTAAGGCCATGTTTGTCAACCATAAACTAGCTTATATCTTTTGAGCTTATTAAGAAAAGCTTTGGTAAGCCATATGCTAGCTTTAATAGCTTATCCGTGGTTTTATTCTCCCTTTTTTCCAATTATGCCCCTTATATATTCCTTTTAGGTCATTTCACATTGTGATTCTAACTTACTAGTTAGTTTTTACCACACATGACTAGTTCATGAGCTAGCTTATGAGCTAACAAGCAACAACTAGCTTATTAGCCGACAACTAGCTTTTCAGCTAATTTCCCAAACATAGCATAAAATGAACTAATGGGGTCACAGGTGGTTTGTCAAAGTCTCTCACCTTCAGGTAGTTGATGCTCAGTCCTGAAAACAATTGTTTCCATCCTTCTTTTTGGACAATCATAACAAGAGTTCCCATTGTTCCTTTCACTTGTAAGCTGGTGGAAGCCTGTAGCCGCTGAACCTATGATAGTCAAAGAACACATATCCTCATACTTTGTCTGCATACGTGTATACACACACATGTATGTATATATAAACGAAACCATAATTGAAAGATTACCTGCATTTGACGTCTAACAACATCCAAAGGGTATGTGAAAGTCTGACCAAGTAAACCAGCAACAGATCCACAAGCAAGTTTGACCATTATGTTCTTTCTGTAATCATCAGGGACACGGCTTTTCATTTCCTCATAGAAGTAAAACTTCAAACCCGAGTAAGGAAAGATTCCGAAGAGTGATGGAGCTAACAGAAAAATTCAATTTTTTAAAAAGAAATCAAAATCTATTTATTGTATAATATCTATGCAAGGTCAAAAAACAACTGTAGACTAGAGCTGTGAGAACAGAAAGAATTCATACCCACGCCACGGTAAAGGCCTCTCATCCCAGCCTCTCTATAAGTCTTTGAAAAGCAATCCTTAATTCCTTTATATACATGTTCGCTTGTCATGGCTCCTTTTCCGTTCAATTTGGGAGTGTCCACAACCTGTACTATCAGATCAGAATGATTCTCAGTTATATGTCCGAAGGTTTTGGGATCATCAGAGCATCTCCAACCCGACACCAAATCTCATTTTCTACACTAATTTTCATGCTATTTCATTCCAACCCAACACCAAATCTTACACCATATTGTTTTTGGTGAATAATGCTAAAATTTGGTGTTCTATTCTTTTACACCAATTTGGTATTGAACTATTTTTATTACAAAATGGCCCCTGAAGTTTAATTTTTGTGTAACTTGAATTTTTTCAATAACATATTTAAAAACTACACCATTGACATATATATTATAATACAAAGAAATACATACCAAAAAAGAATTTAAACATGTAGTAGTAAGCAACTAATAAATATAAGGGTATTATTGAAAAATTATACAAGTTAGGAATAAGGAATATACTTGAAATTTTCTATTTGGTATCATGAATGGTGTTAATGGGATGGAGATGCATTATTATTTACACCAAATTCTACACCATTTTGGTGTAAGAAATGATGTAAACGATTGGAGATGGTAATAGACAATGTTTGGCAACGAGTGTGCATGCACATTTGTGTGTGAAACAGAAAGACACTCAACTAAGTTGCCGAATGATGATTGTATACCTGATAAGCCAATTTAGTTCTAACTAAATCAAGCGGATAGGTAAAAAGAACAGCAGTTCCTCCAGATAATGATCCTGCTAACAGATCAATAACCGGGCTGCTTCCCATGGCAGGAAAATTGTAGTCGATATGCCTTCTATATTGTTCATATGCCATATAATGTAATGCGGCATAAGGAACGATTCTGGCAACACTAGCTCCATTCCCTCTGTAGTATAGACGACAACACATGCCCGAAACATATTAGCTTGAGAAAAAGAAAGGTTTCAGTGTAAACAGAGAGCAACAGAAGTTTCATCTCCAACCTGTAAAACCCAAGAAGTCCTTCTGTCTTTGCAATCCTTCTAAAAGATGCTAACAATCCTATATTGTGAAATTCGCTTCTAGTCTGTAACAGAATAGTAAAGAAACACAATGGTTACCTCCTGAAATATGAAAGAGGAAAAAGTGCATACAACTCCAGGGATAAAACGCTGTGAATAGTATTCAAAATTTATTATAGAATAAAATATGAAATTAAAGTTGCAAGTTGAGAAATTTTTACATACATCATTCATATTTCATGAGGCACAAACAATTGAGACCATGAGAATATAAATCTTGCTTCTTTTCCTGATAACAGGAGAGTGTCAATTGGGAGCCCACCATGGTGTAAAAGATACATTAGAAGCTCATAAAATCCATTTATGTGTCATGGCCCTAAAGGGCCTCTATGAGATCCTAACAACATCATGGCATGTCAATTACCCAACATTGTAGGATGGATATCAAAAGTCAAAACATAAAAAAGGTGTCCCTCCAAGACATTTTTCAGTTGAAGCTTCCTCTTCTGATGATCATTTGCATTGATGTCAGTCAAAGTCACCTCTGAAGGAGTGTTCTCATTTTACGGTTCAATTAGTTAGATTCAAATTTATGGAAGACCATTCATGACACTACCAAAACTATCTTGATCTGTACAAGTACTCTTAGAAATTGTTGTTCCTTGGCTTCTAACCACATCTAGACTACCAGCACAAACAAACTGTTCAGTAATTTCCCTAGACGAACATCAACTATATCTTCAGCTATATTAATCCCAAGTTGCACTCCAGATTCGTCCATCCCACAACTAATCACTCAGCTATAGAACGATTAAAAGTTCTGTTCTAGAATTAGAGTTCCCACAATGATTCATGTTCTCTTATCTACAAATTTCAAGGATTTTAAGTCAAACCCAGTTAGAGACGCCAACAACTATCATTTACTTCATACCAGTTATGGCTTGATGTCAAGCTGCTTTGAGAAAAGCTGAATGAAAGAGACAAGGAATAGAGGCAAATCTAGCTCTCTAATGGGCTGGGAGCAAGAGAGAAGCAATTCAGAGACAGTGGTGAAACCCTAAATTTTTTTGGACAATTGACCTACATTTCCATGGCCTTAACAAACAAAATTCCCTAAAAGCGACATCTATCATATCTTGGCTTAGACCCCAAGAAGCCATCAACAATGGTTTGGTCGAGAATGGCAGAAATAATCCACAAACACAGCCCTGTTAAAATTCTCACATCTTGAGTTAACCACATGTCAAGTAATTAAAATGCATCATCACATCTTCGATTCTGTCACACCATATAATGGGAACCTTAATAAAAAGAAATGCTGAACATGTGAACCTAAATTCTTGGTTGGCATAGGTGCAATACAAGACTCTCTTTTCTCACGACCGGTGTAACCCATCAACTATGAGTTGCAACTCAAGACATATGAAGCATGTATAATGACCAGTTGCAACGGAAATCCCATGAACCAAAGAGCTAAGAACCCATTCTTTTTGGTCATTTAACATTTCTAGTTTGTGGGTCTCATTCATATGGTGCCATGAGTAAGTTGAAATTGAGATTAACCCAAAAGTGATGAATACAGGAAGATATGTAATTTTATGGAGGAAGTTCCGTATACGTATGGTAGTGGCATAAGTCCAATTTGTTTGGAAAAAGGGGGAATTTATGTTCCTATTCATAATTGATCACATTGTCAACAAAATTAGCAATCAAAACGTAATAAATGACCATTAATCCGCAAGTTCATCTTCATAACCCAAAATTCCAATGCTTAACAAGCTAAATCCACTAGAATCAAAATCTACCAAACCACAAAATTCCCCCAAAAATACCAGCAATTCGATCATAACCTAATATGAAAACAAAATTAAATACAACCAGCAATTAGCGAAAGTGCGATCTGCAATTAAGAAGCATAATCAAAGAGAAAAAAATCGTAGGAAACCTGAAATAAGATCTTGAGACGCTCAAGAGGAGCAACAATCGTCTTAGCAACACCACCAGCAACACCACCGGCGATCAATTCTTTAGCGAACAAAGGAATACCTTCCACAACACCATCGCGCGGTGTCGTATCGTAGAATACGCCATCTTTACCGGTTTCTATCTTGTTCTTCTTCTCCCCCATGGGAGGGCCTTTCTCCCTCTAGAATCTAGAGAGAGAAAGAGAGGAAAGTTCCTTTCCAATTATATAACTCTAAGGGGGGAATCAAGAGAAAGAGAAGATGAGACGCTTCTTGTTCTTTTTGGAACAAAGAAAAAGCCGATGAGACGTTTTGTTGCCGTGTAACCGTGCGACGAGCGGGCAGTAAGATTTCTTGATTCTTCCACAAATATTTCGATTTTCGTATGAACAAATTTTTATGTGATTTTTCTGATCGAATCATACGTTAAAAATATATTACGAAATGCTTATCTGGATAAGTATTGGACCAATAAAATTTAACGCTATCACTTACTTATCAGATAAGATTTTGGTTTATTGAACAGTATTTTATGCAATAATTTACCCGGTAAATACTAACTGTTGTAAGAGTCGTCGTTCCTACTTATCGGGTAAGACTTTCAAAATTGTATTGATAATTGATGGAGTTTGATGTAAACAACATGCAAAAGTTAATGTAAAAAAGATTATCAAAAGAAGTTATAAACAACTAATAAATTTAAGGGTAAGAGTGAAATATATAGACTTGAGATCATGTGAGATAAAGTTGTTTTCGTGTGAGACACGATTTTTACAGTTGAAACTTTACAGCAAAACACTGTGAAGGTAACCTTCAGAGTGTTTTTACTGTAAAGATTCAGCTTTTTTTTACATTCACAACATTTTGTTGTAAAGTTTCAAGTGTAAAAATCGTGTCTCACGAAAACATATTGATTTCATGTGAACCCAACCCGATATATATATATATATATATATATCTATACTATATTATAAAGCATTTGACTAAAACTCTTAAAAACTCTTAAACTCTTAAAACTCTTAAACTCTTAAACTCTTAAAAACTCTTAAACCCGTTCATCCCTATCCGATTTTATCCCATATCTGAATTCGTGTAACTAACTGCAAATAAA